CCCACAACATGCCATCTTCCCTGAAAATGGCCCCACAATGGATTAAAACAAGAGCAGACCCATTTTTATTAGAATAAGGATCTCTTGTTTAATAAAATGACAATTAATTTCTGAGGTTCTAGTTTATTCTTCAAAGAAACATCATATAAAGACAAAAGACTCATTAATACTTTCAAATATAAACAATAATAAAGAAAAAAAACATCTTTTTTTTAAACGTTAGCTTATAATAAAAGCCTCAATCATTGTTTTTTAAAAGAGGAACATTTGTTTTTTTGCTTTTTTGAACTTCATTTCCCAGAAATCTTGAAAGGTAAAACCTGCAGCAGGGAGATAGAAATTTTAAAAAGTGTTCGGGTTAAAACGAAGCGATCCATGCAGACAAAAGCTTGAGATTAAAGTTCTGACGTTGTCAGAAGCTGCAGCTGCTTCAAGAGGGTTTGAATTTCACTTCATGGATGCTTGCATGTTTGTTACGTGTGAGCGTATGTGTGAGTCAGGTGATGCTCTGCACAGCAGGTGACTGCCTGAGCTGCTGCATCAAAACTGCATGAGGCTCTCTGGGCGTGTTTGCACAGGAGGGCACTGATCCTGCTCCACACTTTAGAACCCAGCCTCATTCAGTTCAGAGAAAAACTGGTTTAAGAAAATCCTATTTTACTCCGGTCATTCTGCAGAATTTAAGAAAGGAGCAAAAGACGTTGCATAAAAACCCAAAAATTTGTAAATAAATATTCAGATGTGAAGCTATGTAACACCTGACTGATAAGAATTTAGCTGAGTCTGCCTCAGTCAGGGGAACCACAGTAAAAGACTTTGCTCTGTCTTTCTCTGGGAGAAGCTCAAATGTTCCCAGGCTTTAAAATGAGCTGACCTGATCAGAACTTATTTCAGGAACCAAAGGCTTAAAACTCATAGCGACCATTAATCCTGCTTGGTGCGACAGTAAAGCATTCGACTGAATCCATTTTTGGATTAGCTTGACCTCAAAGGACGCAGACATCCTTCCTGATCTATCTTCCATAGCTATCCATCTTCCTGATAGCTATCTCTATAGTTCTGCTGCTATAGGCTTAGACTGCTGGAGGACATAGGGACCCCTTTTTCACCGTTCTGCTTCATTCTATCTCTATTCTCCCACTCTGCAGAATCTGTAGAGACACCCAAAAGCATTAGGAAGACTATATTAGGTCTCCATCAGTCAGGTGGAGAACGTTACACAGAGCAGGGAATATTGTTTTGCTGATATAATCCTTTAAAATCGATAAAATATTTACAGAAAATCCTGGATGGGATGAGAAACGTCTTCTAACTTGAAACAAAGTCCAGTGGATTGTTTAACTTTTTTTGGAATATCCAAGCAATAATGAATTGGAAAGTTCGTTTTCAGCGATAAGATAGAAGGAAAACTGTTCAAGCAGAGCAACCCTTCCTAACTGGTTGCAACATTTAGTGATCAGGTCTGCAAAGCCTGCACAGCAGCTGCTGGTGATACAGCATGGAGGTAGAGCTATGAATGATTGATGAGGAGGAAATCTACCTGACAGACACACCGCTGACACAAACACACCACCACTGTTCACCAAAACCCCGGCTGCTCTTTAAACGCTGAACAGAGATGTAAGAGTTTTAGAAAAAATACAAAAATAAAACTCCTGCTGGTCGTCCTTCTTGGTTCTTTCCCTCTTTAGCAACCATAAAAAATGAAACGGACTTCCTCCAAGTTAAGCCTTTTTCTCTAAATCTAATCCAGACTACTGACTCTAATGTTGTGGATTTCTCTTCCACCTGATGTTTACCTCTCTGTGAGGCAGGTTGGTTTTCTGAAGAATGCTCCATCCGCACTAATTCATCCCTGCTCAGGTCTTTAGCTTTATTGCTGAATGTTTGCATTCAGCCTGCATTACCATGGCAACCAGGCTCCTGAGTCAAACACTTTTCCTAATCTCAGCGATAGAAAACCTGTGGAGAAGTTTTATTAAAGTTCAGTGAACCTTCAGGACCTCAGAATCAGCCAAGGACAGAAAATTAACTTGTTTAACCTGAAGGTTCAGTTTATCTCAGCCTGTATCAATAATCTAAGATCATAAACTTAAATCTTTCATAGATAATAGTTTTATTGGTAAGAAAGAATTCGAGAAAGCAACAACCGGTCTGCCTCTACAGCTTTAGGAATTAATGACTATGGTGGCTGAGAAGTGCAAAACACATTTACAATTCAAAAACACATTAACAAATAAAAAACAAAATAACATTTGAAGAAACAAAATTATATTTTATGAAACAAATGTATTTTTGAAAAAAAAAGTTTTTAAAAACAAATTTACAT